GGGAAAGCCCAAGAAAAACAATATCTGCTAGGGTAGGGTGGGAAAGCTCAAAAAAGACCGTATCTGCTAGCTCTAGGCTTCAGGTAGAGGGATAGAAAAAGTCGACAATATCTATTAGATGTGGACTTAAGGTAAGGTCATTACAACAGTATTCTTATGGCACTATCAAGTTCATACATCTCCGTGCATGACCCTATCCAAACCAACTCATAATCGTAACCGGTGACCCAGACAATTTCATACAATAAAAAAACTAAAGAAAATCAAATTTAAAAAAAAAAAAAAATTGAAGAAGTTTTTGGATTTAGGCAATTTCCCACCTCGTGGGCCGATTTAACCTATTTCAAATATCCATCGGCACTCTCACGACAATTTTCTGTATAGTTTGAATTGAAACTTATACTGCGATAGGGCTTGGTGACGGCGGCAGTGCGAGTTGACACAGAGTTTACGAGAAAGACAATGAAAGAAGGCGAGGAAGAGACTGAATTCGTGACTCCAGGTGAAGTTCTCGGAAAATTTTCGGACATGAAACCTGGGAAAGGCGCTTATGTAGCTAACAACACTGTTTATGCTTCTCTTTCTGGTTTCCGCCGCATTATTTCCCCTCCAACTGATTCTTCGGACTCGGTACACTCTCTTTCACTTCTCTTTACTGTTGCCTTGATCTTTTGAGATTTGGGATTTTTTGGCTTGCCTTGCTTTGTTCTTGAGATCATAGGAATTGCTTTCTTTGAACCAACCCCATCTGAGTTTTGTTCTGGAATTTAAGTGAGCCGATTCAACATCTAATGGCCTTTCCTTCAAACCCTATTGTAGTTTCTTGGTATCATTTTGATGCCTTCTAACTTTCAAGGTATAGGGAATGTTACTAATGCCTTAATTGTTAGAGCTACGCTTAGGTTGATGATTGCGGTTCTTTTTGTGTTGATTTAGGGAATGCTTGGGATTCTTTCCTTGTCAAAGGTTAAAGTGATAGTGTTTGAAGAAACTATACCATAAATGTTATGAGATTGTGTGTCTAAGGGTAATGGTGCTAAGTATGTAATGTTGAGTATTGGATCTAGTGGAGATACTCATAAATAGTTTTATCCTTGACTATAAGAGAATATAGTGGAGAGGTGGACAATTAATCCTAAAAGAATAATTGAAAAACTATATCTCTTGGGTGGTTTTGGTGTTGGCTAAGAAACTATTACCTTGGTGTATTGGTGTTTTTTATTGGCATGTTTTATCATTAACTCAAAGTGAATATGTGAGATCCCACATCGGTTGGGGAGGAGAACGAAACATTCTTATAAGGGTGTGGAAACCTCTCCCTAGTAGATGCGTTTTAAAAACCTTGAGGGGAAGCCCAAAGAGGACAATATCTGCTAGCGATGCGCTTGGGCTGTTACAAATGGTATTAGAGACAGACACCGGGTGATGTGTTAGCGAGAAGGTTGAGCCCTGAAGGGGGTGGACACAAAGTGGTGTGCTAGCAAAGATACTGAGCTTTAGGTGGATTGGGGGGTCCTACATCGATTAGAGAAGGGAACGAGTGCCAGCGAAGACGTTGGGCCCCGAAGGAGGGTGGATGTGAGATCCCACATTGGTTGGGGAGGGGAACGAAACATTCTTTATAAGGGTGTGGAAACCTCTCCCTAGTAGACGCGTTTTAAAAACCTTGAGGGGAAGCCCAAAGAGGACAATATCTGCTAGCAATGCGCTTGGGCTATTACAAATGGTATTAGAGACAGACACCGGGTGATGTGTTAGCGAGAAGGTTGAGCCCTGAAGGGGGTGGACACAAAGTGGTGTGCTAGCAAAGATACTGAGCTTTAGGTGGATTGGGGGGTCCTACATCGATTAGAGAAGGGAACGAGTGCCAGCGAAGACGTTGGGCCCCGAAGGAGGGTGGAGGGTCCTACATCGATTAGAGAAGGGAACGAGTGCCAGCGAAGACGTTGGGCCCCGAAGGAGGGTGGATGTGAGATCCCACATTGGTTGGGGAGGGGAACGAAACATTCTTTATAAGGGTGTGGAAACCTCTCCCTAGTAGACGCGTTTTAAAAACCTTGAGGGGAAGCCCAAAGAGGACAATATCTGCTAGCAATGCGCTTGGGCTATTACAAATGGTATTAGAGACAGACACCGGGTGATGTGTTAGCGAGAAGGTTGAGCCCTGAAGGGGGTGGACACAAAGTGGTGTGCTAGCAAAGATACTGAGCTTTAGGTGGATTGGGGGGTCCTACATCGATTAGAGAAGGGAACGAGTGCCAGCGAAGACGTTGGGCCCCGAAGGAGGGTGGATGTGAGATCCCACATTGGTTGGGGAGGGGAACGAAACATTCTTTATAAGGGTGTGGAAACATCTCTCTAGCAAACGCGTTTTTTAAACCTTGAGGGGAAGCCCGAAAGGGAAAGCCCAAAAAAGACAATATTTGCTAGCCCGGTTTGAGCTGTTACATAATAAAACAGGGGAGAGTTTTAAACTCATTTATTTGGTTTTCATACCCTTGCTTTTAAGCATAACTATGCTACCTCTCTACTTAATACGAGTCATACGAGTCATAGAAGCATGTGGTAATGGGTTATTTACAATGTTTATGTCTTAACTGGCCTCGGACGTTGCTTATATTACTGCTGATTTGCGTTATTAGAGACCAACTGTGGAAGTGACTGGTCATAAGGCCCATGGTGCCGTTCCAGCTCCTGGATCAATCGTCACTGCTCGAGTAAGTTGCTTACTATGTCGTTTTTATGTGCATGAGATTTAAAATACCGTCGTTCTTCAAGTCGCACCTGCTGATTGTAGGTTACAAAAGTAATGCCTAGAATGGCATCAGCTGATATCATGTGTGTTGGTCCAAAGTCTGTGAAGGAGAAGTTTAGTGGTGTTATAAGGTTTGAAACATTCTTCTGCGAAGCTCTTATTTATTCAGTTCATTTTATTGCATAATCTATCATTTAAATATGTTACTTTCTCTGGTATAGAAAGTTCGTCTACCGTATTCTTTTTTCGTTTAATGTATGCACCCGTTTCGTGCCTTGGCTATGTAAAGCACCTCACATTGTTGACCATGTGCTACTGTCTTTTACTCTGTTCTGTTTGTTTCCGTCTTAAATCGCTTCTGTAGGCAACAAGATGTCCGAGCAACGGAGATTGATAAAGTAGACATGCATTTGTCCTTTCGACCCGGTGACATCGTCAAAGCTCTTGTTGTATCCTTTATACTTGAATTTCGTCTTGTTTGATGAACTTTGTTTTGTGGATGAGAGAAAGAAATCTAGTTGGAGGTTTTGATTTGAGCGTATTTCTTACCTCCATTGTGAGCTCCCACATCGATGGGAGAGGGAAACGAGTGGATTGCGAGATCCCACATCGGTTTGAGAGAGGAACGAAACACTCTTTATAAGGGCGTGGAAACCTCTCCTTTCCCCTTTAGGGATAGTCTAAAGAGGACAATATCTGCTAGCGGTAGGCTTGGACCGTTACAACCATTTTCCTTGACCAAAGTTCCCCTCGAAAGCTTTCTCTAGGAGATGCAAGGGCCTATCATCTTTCAACTGCAAAAAACGAACTCGGGGTCGTCTCTGCAGAAAGTACAGCAGGTAAAGAGTATGGTACTATTTGTGCCCTATAATGCTCTATAAATCATGCCGCTTAGTTGCTGTTGTAAAGTGTTGAATGTTTTTATAGGTGCAGTAATGATTCCCATAAGCTGGACGGAAATGCAGTGTCCATTAACAGGCCAAATTCAACAAAGAAAAGTTGCCAAAGTTGGAGGATCATGACTTCCTTTTTTCTTTCCTTTATTTTTCTCCTTATCATCTTATTTTTTGTTCCGTTTTCGATAATAGTTCGTTATTTATATAATAGTTCGTCATTTAGACGATTGTTATTGTAACGTTTATGTTGTATGAATGAAATTATATGAGTAAGAAGATTTTGCACCTTTATATTGTTTTATGTTCTTCATTCGTAATCTATCGCTACTGGATTTACCGTAAATTTGATGAGTTCGTGTTAGTTTATGAGTTCCGCTAAATTTAGTTTGAGTTTAAATAAGTGGATAAATGTGTCTTGATGATACCTCCGAGGAACAGTATATGTAGTCTAGGGGTTACTTCGCTAGCACAGAGGTTACTTATAGGCATTGTTAATCGATAGACAAATCTCTCTCTTTATCAGTTCATCGATAGACAAATCTCTCTCTTTATCATTTCGTGCTAGATGCAACAAAAGATGATTCCTTTTTCCTTCTTGCAAACCACGGAAGCGCTGGGAGCCCAAAGGAGTAAAGCTCATTTTCCCTTTAGAGTAAAGTGGCACACAAAAAGGGGGTTGGCCCGTCAAAAATCTCGTTCCTTCGCGAACTAAGATCATAAACAACCTATGTTCCAAAGAACCATAAGATAAAAAAAAAAAAACATGCGTGCACCTCCACCATAATGCTTTTAGTCTACCTCGTAGAGACGCTAGCTTTTTAATTTTTATTTTCACTTATGTTAAGAAGCACTATTGAGACAATACCCTCAACATCTCGTACGGTCTCGAATTATCTCTAATATTTCATATATGCTTTTGAATAATTATGGTTATAGTTAAATAATTATAATTAAAGCTTTGTTTGATAATTCCAACCATTTTAATTAATTTTCATAATTTTTCTATATATTATTAAGCCATGGTATTTCCATTCAAATAATATAATTAATGAAATAATTTAATCAATTTATATATAAAAATATTGTCTTAATTTTTATATGGAGATTGAAAATGATGTATTATAATTTAACTTTGATTCACATAATTAAAATTTTATTGAATTTTCATAATATTTTCTTAGATTCTTATTTTGAAAATTGAAAGTCTTTGCAATATAATAATAAAAATAGGAAAATAAAATTATTTATTTAATTCTAAATAAAATAAATAAATAAATATAATCCGCCAAAAAATAATAATAATAATAATAATAATAATAGAGAATTGGTTCAACAAAACTTCCCTCCCTTTTTTCCACATTCTCTCTCTCTGACTCAGAGCCCCCGGAAACCGCCGCCGTCTCTCCTCGTTCATCGCTATAAATACCCTCTTCCCCCCTTCACTTTCCGATGCCCTCGCTGTTCATCTCCAAAATCCCACTCAATATCTCTTCTGTCCTCTCCAATTCTCGATTCCGATTCTCAATCGCCGCCGCCGCCGCCGCCGCTCCCTTACTTCCCTCTCCCTTCACCGATCTCCGCCGTTTTTTCCACCAACCTCTGTTCACCGGCCATGCCTCCCCGTTTGGCCATGATGTCACAAGTCGACTTTGATGGCCCACTTGCTCGGAGATTGTGGAATAAGTGCCGTAGAGAGTCGACACTCTCGAAGTATACCCCGTTTTGCGTTTGTCTCGCTTGCGGGTGTCTCGATATTGATACATTCCGCTGCTATATTGATCAAGATATTCATTTCCTCGAGGCGTTTGCTCGGGCGTGAGTTGAATTTTTGTTTGTTTTGGCTTGGTGGATTGTGTGGGGAAATAGGGAGCTGTGAAATGAATTGGTTTGAATCGTATTTGAATTGGATTGTTCTTTATTGTTGTGTTCTTGTTTCTTTCTTTTGTGGTTCGTTTTAGTTCTTCAATTTCAGGTGGAATTGGGGTTGTTATGAGAATCCATGATCTTGAATTTCGAATTCTTTATTGTTGTTCTGTTTCTTTTTGGATTATATTGGATTGCAGGGGACATGGGAGTGTTGTAGAACGATATCTTGAATCCTAATTGAATTGAAATTCTTTTGTCTTTGAGTCATTTATTCCTCTTTGGCCTACAGGGGATGATAATGAATAATATTGAATATGCCCTGTTTCTTTCATTGGCTTTTTGAATTACTGAGTAATCTTGAATCTTAATTGAATTATCCTCGATTGTTTTGCATGAGAATGCGTGTTCTTGGTGCTCTGTCTCTCTTTTTAGTTAATCAAATTCGATATCTATTCCAAAACTTGGTTTCTTGTTACAAAGAAAGTTAAGGCAAGCAATGTTATTATTAGAATGAATGATGAGAATCGAGGGCATCTATCCAGGAATCTAAGAAACATTGGGACATTGGATTTATACGATATTCATGTGGTATAGATGTTATTTGTCTGTGCTCACGATCATTTTTCTTGGAACGAAATGTTAGAATGTAAATGTTCATATTTTGTTGTAATCCAGGTATGAATTAGCTGCAGAATGTGCTGATGATGATGATGCAAAACATTCAATCATTGAGCTGAGAAAGGAAGTGACAGAAGAACTGAAAATGCATGCTTCATTTGTTAAGGTAGAAGATAAACCTCCATGCTTCATATGTGCTTTTCTTTGAAGAATGTAGCCATTGATAGCCTAATATTTAAGTGAATTCCTGCTATTTTTATGTGTTTTGATCTTTTTACCGTTTCGGGATGTTATATGAACCCGTTCGCTTGGTGCTCAATCTTTAAGGAATGGGGTGGTGAGGACAGAAAAGCAGCTCCTGTCAGCCCTGCTACGGTCAAATACACCGAGTTTTTGTTGGCAACAGCGTCTGGCATGATTGAAGGACTTAATCTTGCAACCCCATTTGAAAGAACAAAGGTTCCTGCTTATGCTCTAGGTGCCATGACACCTTGCATGAGGCTCTACGCCTATTTAGCTTCAGAGTTTAAGGTAGCTATTGGTCCAGTCTATGGTGATCACCTCTACAAGACATGGATCGAAAACTATGCATCGCCCGGTTTTGAGGTCTGTTATTTTGAGGCTCTCCTTGTTTTGATTTTAGTTTTGTAGTAAAAAATGGTTTACTGAAATGGCTAGCTGTTTTTATCTTCAATTCAGAAAGCAGCTGAGAGAATTGAAGACGTGCTCGAGAAAGTCGCTACTACTTTGACTGGTGAAGAGCTTGACACCATTGAGAAGCTTTATAACAAAGCTATGAAACTCGAGCTAGATTTTTTCTGGTCTCAGCCTGTTGGCCAGAAGACTGTTGTTCCGTTGATTAGAAATCATAATCCCGCCGTGGATCGGTTGGTAATCTTTTCGGATTATGATTTGACATGCACTGTTGTTGATTCTTCTGCCATTCTGGCAGAAATTGCAATAGTAAGAGCTCCAAAATCCATTCCAAACCCCGATCCAGATCAACCTGCCGAAGAACAAACTATCCGGATGACATCAGCCGAACTCAAAAATAGATGGGGTGATATTTCCAGGCAGTATACCGACGAGTACGAAGACTGCATCGATAGAATCACAACTTCTAGAACAGGTAGTTACTTAGAACATGGATTTTATTTTATTCAAGCGAGTTTCGTTTACATGATATCGTGAATATTTGGGCATTGCAGACGAATTTAGGTATGATGATCTTTGTAGAGCTCTTGAGCAACTCTCTGCTTTCGAGAAACGGGCAAATGACAGAGTTATCAAGTCTCGATTGCTTAAGGGCTTGAATTTCGATGATATAAAACGAGCGGGTGAACATCTTATCATTCAAGAAGGGTGTTTCAAATTCTTCTCAACCGCTAGTAGGAATGAAAGATTGAATGTTGGTATAAACATAGTGTCTTATTGTTGGTGTGGGGATCTCATCAGATCATCTTTTAATTCAGCTGGTTTACTAACGCAAGTGAGTATACAATGCAATGAGTTTATGTTTGAAGAAGCAGTTTCTACAGGTGATTTAGTTAGGAAAATAGAATCTCCCATTGATAAAGTCAGGACTTTCAGGAAAATCTTGGGGAATTACAGCACTGATAAAAACAACTTCAGTTTATACATTGGAGACGCGGTTGGTGACTTGCTTTGCCTACTCGAAGCAGATATAGGAATTGTTATTGGGTCGAGTTCCAGTCTAAGGAGACTGGCGACTCGTTATGGAGTTTCTTTCGTTCCGTTGTACCCGAATGTGGTAAGAAAACAGAAAGTTCTTACCGGAGAGACACTACTCAGCTGGAAAAGATTGTCTGGTGTTCTTTACACCGTCAGTTCTTGGGCTGAAATCCATGCTCTCGTTCTTGGATGCTAGAACCAATATTTTTTTTTGTGGTTCTCATTCATCTCAACTCGATTTGGTTTCGAGTTGAGTCGTTTATGCATCATTGATTGTAAAGATACATGTTGATGGCGAGTTTTATAGGGCCAACAACGTCATTTTGCTGTTGTCGTTCGTCCTTCCTCGAACAAGGTATGTTTTGGAGCAGGCAGGTTAGTGTGTGAGGAAGGATGGAGGGCAATTATTTGAAACAAAAAAGAAGATATAAAAGAAATTTGTTCATACAAAACATTTGAAGCTTTGTTTAGTGTATCCATTGATTGTAAGTGATAGGTTCTGTTCTGTATTTTGGGATGAATGGCAGTTTTCTTCCCCTATTATGAAATCAAATGCACAAAATTTTTCTTTCATATTTGCTTGCATTCTCTCTTGTTTTTGCTTAACTACGCTCAATTGCATAAATTCATGCACGATTGAGATCCCATGTTGATCGAAGAGGGAAGCAATGTAAGCTCGAAAAGGAAACCTTTCCTTAGCAGACGCGAAAGAGAAAGCAAGGTAAGCCTAGAAGAGAAGGAAAGCATGGTAAGCTTGAATATGAAACTTCTCCCTAGCATATGCCTAGAAAGCAAGGTAAGTCTGGAAGAGAAGGAAAGCACGGTACGCTTGAATATGAAATCTCTCCCTAACATATGCGTTTTAGGAAAAAATCTCGAGGAAAAATACAAACGAATAAAAATAAGGCAAATTTGAAAGAGAGTTCAAAGAGAACAATATCTGCAGAGGAAAAACATAGGTGGTGTTAGGTGGTGTTCCCAAACATATTGTAAATGGAGTGAGGTGGGATATTTTAAAAATAGTCTCCATTGTTGTCCTTTAATGTTAGGTTATTTCTGGGAAGATTCTCCACTTTCATATTTTTAATATATTTCAAGATTCTTCCATTAATTTAACTTCCTCCTCCTCTTTTTAAACCATAATCCTATCTTCATCCCTTGTCAATAAAAGAACAACAAACTAGCTGTGTTTTATCTCCAATAAATATTCTCAAACAAGGCATCCAGATTCAGCTTGAGGTGGTCATGGTCGAAGATGGCAATCGAAAGGGCAGAAGGCGGCTCATCGGAAAAATGAGGCGATGTGTTTAACGTCATTTTGATGAAACAAAGAAGGTTTGTCCTGCTTTGAAAACACCTATTAACCTTCATCGGCAAGTCAAAGTTCTTGGCTCTTATTATGAATCTTTTTCTTTCTCCTCTTCCGTTTATGTTTTTGTTGGGTTTGGATAGAAAGACGTTCTTCGTTTTTTGGGATATTATTGGATAAACAATGAGCGAAGATTGAGAAGTCATGTATTTAAATATTTTGAATAATATATTTGAGTTGGTGAATATATTAACCGTCATAAAATCGGATTATTCTCACTATTTCTATGTTATAAAATAAAATGCAGAATATCTCTATTTAATGATCGTGTTGGAATGATTATTCATATAACGAGTTCGTAGAAGTGAATGATGCATAAGCAAAAGGGCACTTTAAGTATGATTCGATTCCATGAATCTCATTCTCCCAATCGCTAATCCCCAAATCAATCTCTAATTAGGTTTTGATTATAAAATAATAGATATCAAAGTCAAACAAAATCTCTCCCCTTATAAATCAATCTCTCTTTTTCTTCCCTTTTCTTATTCTTCATCAAATGAGATAGCATGAGATGCGTTGCAATTGGTATCGGTCATGCGTGCTTCAAATGACCCAATTAGGATTCCAATTTTAAGCTCGTACATACAGTACTATAAACTCATTTTTCTTCAAAACTGAAGTCCTATCATTAAACCCGATCGCATCAATGCAACGTCTTAACATATTGATGATATCAACATCATCATTGTTGATAGATACAATACAATGAGTACCATTAGCCACTTACCATATTACATATTTCGCAATCGACAAGGGCTCGACGAAGAAGGCCAGTACATGTAGTAGTCTTGATCGTTCTTCCAAATAGTCTTCATACCATATTGTTCGGATCGCCAAGACCCTTGTAAGTATAGAGCTGATGTTGATGCAAAATAATAGGCTGTTGGAATGGGGGGCAATTCCAAGTCAAGAAAATCAAAGTTCATACCAATTCCCACCTTCTCCTTCATATATGATACATAAAAATTACTAGGAACTATCAGCCACTGCACTTCAAAAAGAATAATCATGATACAGCAACAGAAGCGATGAACCTTTTGGCTTCATTCCTCCGCTGCTTTGCCTTTTACAACATTTTAAACAACCATACAACAACAATCTAAATCAAATCAAGTCAAAACAAACAAACAAACAAACCTCTGTCTTCTTCTTGATAATGGCGGCAGATGTTCAACTTCCAAGCCAATCCTGTTAAGACTGGAATACAATGTCAATGCCAAGAACCGAACCAATTGGTCGGTTATGGCACAACACAGCTGACTCACAACAAAACTACCAGCAAGGTTTGCAGATACAAAAGAACCGAGTGGCGTGGAATGGCACTATGCTGCAGCCGAATAACTTCATCACAAATCATTTTAACTTCTCTACAACAACATTCATTTTGATCCACAGATATATTATACCCCCTGATACATATTCTACACATGAATTTTTTTCCCAACTTAAATTTCTCTTGGTTATATACAATCCCGTGTCACCTGCCTCACCTATCTATCAAAGGGATACTCCAAGTTGTTTTCGGTCACTTTGAAATGTTGCGGACGTTGTCCAGAACAATGCAAGTTCCACATTTTGAAGTATGACCTCTCCAGGTTCCTCACCTATTACAACACAAGTTAGGAGTCAGAACTATTTGCACGTTTTGATCCAATATATAAACCTATAATGTTGTACACGATGATCACAGTGTATCGTACCCATCGAGCCGTGTCGAACAGAGGGCAAGTCATCCTCACTGCCTTCAATTTGTTGGTAAGTGCTTGCAGTTTTGGCCGATTCAATGCCAATGACACGGCCTTCTCCTCGTATTCTTTCATGCTAGACAACATTTCAAGCAAAATAAATCAGAAAACTAGCTATAATTTTCCCAGCACATGGAAAGGTAAAAGGCCAGCAGAGCAATAACAAGGAACAAAGAGAAATCTTAACAAAAAGACTTCTTCCAAGTAAAATGTCAATGCAAACAGAGGGAAAATCGGGGGCATAAACTGTGAGAAACATCACCCAGTATAAGTACCAAGCTTCCTATGTTTCCAAAACAAACTTGACTGCACCAGTCATATAGAGGGAAAGAAAAATAAATTAAACATTAACTGCTATATTCAAATCAGAAACATCAACACCCATATCATACTAGTGAGATTGAACTAGTGAAAGAAGTAACAACAGAGCAAGTGTTTTCTTTTTCTTTTCTTTTCTTTTTTTGGGTGAGTTTGTGAGTGGGTTTTACCCGTAGAAAATAATTGACCAATCTATTCCGACTTACCGAGTTGGTACTATCCAGTATTTCCATTTATGAAGAGCATATTCAACACTTAATGATTTTGACAAACTCACGCACATAATTTACAATATAATAAAAGCAGTCACCTGCTAACAATCATCTCGTCTCCCAGTCCAGTTGCAAGACAGAGAGAACCAGCAACCCTGGTAGCCATTTTCTCCAGAGGCAGGGTAATCATTGGCAAACCTGCCCATAAAATGTCTGTTCCTGTTGTATGTGCATTGCACAAAGGCCTGAACATGCAGATAACGTCACAAACCCAACAAAAGAAGCAATTAGAATAAAGAACTAGGGGTCATTCATAGAGATAGAAGAAGAAGAGTGACTAACGTATCCAGGAATAAATCTGCTAAGGCACTACGACTGATATGTTCATTTTTCATGGCAACATCTGTGAAAATTATTTGCTCTGGTTGCACTCCTTGCGCAGCAGCATCTGCATGAAAACAAAACTCTCATTCACCAGTGGAAAATCCCTTTTTCAATGCCAATAGCATAAATAACTTATACAAGAATATTTTTATTAAATCAATTTCTCATACATGCACGAAGTCTCATTTCACCAGCAGCCGGGAATCTGAGAAGCCAAAGTGCACTGTTTGGCACACGTTTAAGAATATTGCACCTGGTACCAATAAGAAAGCACCTGGTGAGATAAAACTATTAGAAAAAAAAAAAGTGAGTCAGATATGGAGCTATCATTACCAGGTGTTGAAGATCTCTGGATCCATTTTGTACAACTGATTAAAGCAAGCAAAAATGAATTTCCCATCAGGTAATCCATAATCTGAACGTTTGTGCTGGCAATTTGGAGCCAACACATCCAGATTTTTCTGCACGCACAGAAATAATAGGGTAAGGAAGACAGGAAACTAATGAGGAAACTAACTCAGTTCCACAAAATTACAATTTAAACACTAACCTGCTTATAATCATTGACAAAGTAACAGTGAGGGAGGTGGACAATCTTCTCAGAGTAAATATGTGCATAACGTAAAGGTGAAACAAACTGAAAGCAGAAAAGCAGGTTCAGAAGATTTAACAAGACCATAAAAATTAGAAAGTATTGAAACCTAGACTAAGCTCACCTCATCAGACACTAAATAATCTATGTAAGTTGCCCCTGTTGTTCCTGGAAACCCCATGTATGAAACCTGAATAGGTGCAGGCTGCATGGCGAATATTTCATTTCTAGCCCCCTGCAAATTGCATCTAGATACATATCATATCTCAAAAATAATAATAAATAATAAACATTAAGAAGAAGACTTAAATAAACAAACATATTAACCCAATAGCTTTAGCTTCTAAAAGCTCATACAACATTTCTAACTCAAAACTCATTTGGCAAAGATGTCACTCCCCTGAAACAAAATATACAAATAACACAGAAATACATCTCTTCCTAGTTTCCATGTTTTTTAATATAATAATTATTCGAACTGCCAGGACTCAAATTCATGATTATTCAAATTAAAAGGAAAAGAAAACATAAAGAGAGAAAACATTATTTGAACATGCAAAATAATGAGAAAAAAATCTAAGGTAATTCTGGCAAACAAAGTTTGAAGAAAAATAATCATAAAAAGTACTGAATCTTAAATTAAACAAGAGTTGAGCTTCAATAAGAAAAACAGGATAAAATCAAAAACTACATGTACCTTAGTATAACCATTCAAATTTATTAGTATTTGTATTTTGTCTTCATTTATCATTTTTGCAATCACATCAGATGTCATGGCAGAGACATCGACGAAGTGCTCGGCTTCAAATTGAATACGCTGTCTCCACTCTGTATTATCGTTTGGACTCAAAGCAT